CATTCTTATTTTTGTCAGCAGTTACAACACCAGCATCTCCTTCTACCAGTCAGCTCTGCCGTTACTTCCCAGCCTGTAAGAAAATGGAATGTCCTTTCTATCATCCAAAAGTAAGAACATTTGTTTTCCCCAAGTCAGTTAAGTGGTAGCTTCTCACTCTGAGGTCTGAAAGCTCACTAAGACACGCAACGTCTTGTGTGTCTTACTTTCTCCTCCTACCTAGTTCTTGCATCAGTTAACTTCATGGTCTTTAAAATCTCTAAGTTGTTCCTTAGTTGTTGCTGAGGTCTGTCTGGCCCTTAGGCCAACTGGTCTGAAACGCTGTATATTAATAGCCTAAGCTCTTGGGAAGGGGCACAGCGCTGTTGTTTTCCTTTCCCGTTCCCAGCATGTGGGTGTTTTGTTTCACCTCGAGCTAGTGCCGATAAAATCCATAGTCCTGCACTAAAGACTGACGTTTCTCCGACTACTTGGCTGTCCAGGGCGATCTCTGAAATAAGCAGCCTGAAGACGATTACTGTATTTGAAAGGTTTTTATGGGGTAGGGATGCAGCTCGGTGGTAGAGTGCTTGCCTAGCCTGCATATGAGGCCTCAAGCTCCCTCCTAGGAGCCCCCGCTCCGAAAAGGTGTCATTTCCCCAGCGATTTCTGGGGCAGTGAGGGTATTCTGCATTGTGGGTGGGCAGAAGTTTGTATTGTATGCTAAGTTTGCTGTTAAAGTTTCACTTGCTGTGATTCTTCAGGTTTTTGTGTCTTCAGGGAAAGTTCATTTCTTTAGCGCCAGTAGTACTAATATGGATGTTGTGAGATGTCTTACTGTAGTATGGGTTGGGGTGGGGTGGTTCACATGTATTAATTTTAGGAATGTTGTTGAAGCTCTGTTGTTTCTTTTCAGCACTGTAGATTTAACACTCAGTGTACAAGGCCAGACTGCACATTTTATCACCCCACCATTACTGTACCACCGAGACATGCCTTGAAATGGATTCGACCTCAAACCAGGTAAAGATTGAAATAAGTGTCTGTGCTCATTTTCAGATACTTTTCTGATATGTAGGTGCTTATAAATGTGTAAGCGTACAAATTTGGGGCAAGTTAGACTTATGCCTTCTTTTTCTCTGCTGTTTAATTTTATAGTGATTACTTTTTAAAGAAGTAATCATCTCATTTCTTTTTAACTTCTGATTATACTATGTAGACATATTCTGAGGCCAGCAGGAATTGTGTGTGTGTGTGTGTGCGTGTGTGCGCGCGCGCGTGTGTACACTGTCTACGTCAGATCAGTTCTTAGTCATTAGCAGTTGTAAACTACCAAAAGGAAGCTTTAGAATATTTTTAATGTGCCCCATGAATTGAATTACAGATTTTAACTGCTTTATATATACTTCAGTTCTTTTATGAAATCTAGCATTTATATTGTAATTGGATGAATAATATTTATTATTTAAAAGAACTCACCTCTTAGCTGAGGTATATATGTATATGGTACATGTGAATGCAACACAGTTAATTTAAAAAAATTTTGGTTCTGTTTATTCAGCGAATGATACCCAGTCCTACCTGGCAGAAGATCATGCAGTTTGAAAGGTTCTTCCTACTGATGAAAGATAATCTACAGAACTTGTCAAATCTTTGAAACTTGGAATACATTGCTTTCATAATATGAAGTTTATTGCCTATCTGAAGTGTCTAATTTTTCACGTTTTTAAGTTTATTATTAAGCGGTTTAACATTGGATGTTTTCTTTTGTTGTTTTGTTTTTAGTATGAAAAGCTTAAAGGAATAGCTACATTCAGACCTGGGTGTACCCTCTGTGTAAGTGTCAGCATTTACACAGTGACGTCACTGTGAGTGATGGCACTGCAGTCTAGGGCTGCAGCGCTGTAGTGAGGCCGAGTCATTCTCGGAGTCAGTGCTGCTTTCACTTCTCCCAAAGATGTTACAGTGTTTGTAATCTATCATGAAAACAGCAGCGGCTGAAAGTATTGAGGGAATTTTAAATAGTCAAATTGTGCTTTTTAAAGTTTAAATGAATGTAGTTTGAAAAGCATAACACCAGGATTTCAGTTTGAGCGCCACTTGGGCAAAATTGTCCTTCAGTTCTGTGCCTTCTGTGAAGGGAGGGAGGCGGGTGTGCAGGGTGGAAACAGTTGCAGTGACAAGCGAAAAAATATGAACAGCTCTTTAAAATGCTTTCATTTACTGTTAACATATACATTTTAAATTGGGGGAGAACTACATTATCACAAAATTATATAAAATTTTTTACAAGTATATACACAAGATACCAGAAAACAGACTTCAAACTCACAAGATTATAAATATACATGTATATTCCCACATTCTGAAAAATAACATTCTCAGAAGTAACTCCACAGAAAATATACTTAGTTACTACTGAAGATAATTTTTGGAAAATAAAAACTAGATGTTAGTATATTTTAAATGGCAGAACTATATAATTACAGATCAGATGGGTAAACTGCAGAATAGAATGAAACTTGGCCTATTGTATTATGTAGTTTTGTGTGTTTTTAAAAGTGTTAAGGCAAGAAGTGTCGAATGCTTTAGAATTAAATAAATAAACTGATTTCAAAGACTTTTTTATATACTAGTATTTAAAAATCAAAGGTTAAAAGGTGATTAGTACAGAGTAATACAAAAGGGATAATAAAGACTTAAACATTTTTCAGGACCAGATTAACTGTAACAGAAAATTCATTTCCTTGTTTAGTTATACACCCAAAGGATGGATAATAAACCCTTATCTGTGAAAGTCCATGTAAAGCCAGCCTTCTATTGTGGTCATTGCCTTTCCATTCAAGAATTAGTCACTGAACCTTCTGGTAAGTTGCAGTCAATAATTGAAACACCAAAAGAACAAAGCACTCAGGGCATGAGGGAAATCACAGTTCCATTGCATTCTACACGTACTCCATTGAATTTAAGGCATTTATTCATTCCATTGTTGAGATGTTTTGCATCTCTGCAGAAGAAATTTGTTTTAAATTTCTGGAGATTTTAAGTAGCATTATTTAAATGGTTTGTAACTGTGGGGACCAAGGGCTTAAGTGGTTTAGTTCACCTTTTTTTACAAGCTAAAAATCTGAGTCTGCTGCACTATTTGACATTGGCTGGAAACGAATTTATCTTTCCGTTGCTGTGGTTTATGGGCAACCTAAAGCTGACCCTGAAAACATACGCTCAGTAAAATGATCTAAAGTGAACCACCAGAAAGGGTCACGAAGGGAACGAGCAGGTTGGCAATGGTGAAGTGCGGGGTACTGGGGTGCACAGTGTGCTTTGGCATGCATTTATCCACACAAAACCAGCGGGGCTTGGAATGCCTAGCAGGATACATGTCAATTCCAGAGTTTAGATACTCCACGTAAAAATAAGTTTTCTTAAGGTTTTTTTTTTCTTGTGTGTGTATATATATATATATATATATATACACACACATACATATATGGCAAATTCTGTATGATCTGTCATGTCTCTTCACCTTAGTTGCTGGATAACACAACAAGGCGGTCATATGACAACTAAAGCATCATGACCTTTACTCATGAAACCGACCACAGTGGTGGTTAAGGCTGACATAGGTTGACCACCATGAAGGGTAAAAATGCAGGGGAACCAACTTTATACTACATAGTAAGGTTATAGTTACTGCCTGCACTATACTGAAACTGAAATTTCTCTGTAGACAAAAGTTGGTAAACTTGACCCAGAGAGAAAATTTAAAACAGGAGGTTGAAATTTTAACTATTTTTTCATGAGAGGGTGGTTCATTGACATTTTTTCCTTTAATTCCTTGACTACCACTTTATAAAATATGCTTAATAGAAATTTAATATTATTGTATTCTAAAATATAGCTTAATTTACCAGAATCCTTTGATGCGAATAATGATGGGAGAGTTTTATATTTCAAGCTTCTTGACTCCATCAGTCCTACTGACACAGCTGTTCACCTTGAAAACTGATCCGGTTCAGTCACCAGTGAGGCTGTGATGTTAACTTAGTTATTGTCTGTTTATAGTTTTCCAAAGCGTTGGCCATAGAAACTGTATTTTAGAAGTTGTGTGTTGCCAACCCAAACTGGGCATTCCAGAAACGCGAAGGGGTTATGCTACACAGAGCAACACATAAAAATTAATAGTACCGGTAAAGCATCTTCCAGCTTCTTCACACTTAGAAAAATATAGTTTTAAACATCAATCTACATAATTTTCAGTCTTCAGGAAACTACGTATAGGCTAAGGAGCAAATTCCTGAATGAGGAGTACAGATCTTTGGCAGCATTTAAAGTGAAAAGGAATAAGGATCTAAGAATTTAGCCCCAGTCCACTAAAAACAAATTCTATTTGACAGGTTTTCCAAATGAACTTGGGTTCATCCATTTTGGAGATTAGCCTGTGGAGTGGCATACACCTGAACAAACTTTCCCAGTAGAAAAAAGCTATAAAAATTGTATACCAAGAATCAGTAAGTTGTATAATTTTGTGGGTTTAATGCATTTTCAGTGATGGTGAACCTTTTAGAGCTTTCAGTGATATAAACAGCCCACTGCGGCATGCGTGCCGTAGGTTCGTCACCACTGGCTTATATGTTAAGCAAATGTTTATACGTTAGACTACATTTTTATGTAGTATTCTTTTCCTGTGAAATACTGTTGCTGTCTGAAAACCTTAAAAACATACCGTACACCATTGGGAATGGTCATTCATCATACTACTTTCCCATTGATGAGGCTACAGTCATGTTCATAATTTCTATTGTAGACATGGGTTCTAAACATAAACAGACTGACAGCTCAAAAATGAAAATGTGGCAGTCACTCACATGCCATTAACTTTGGATCTGTTCCTGAATTGAAACGGCAAGGAAAAAAGTGTCCTTATTGAAAGGACTTTATAATGCGTAAGCAACATTTTCTAGGAAAGGGGTTTCCTTATGGAAAGTGTTTACGTCTTGAAAACTGATCCTTTAGGGTGATTTCCTTTCCTAATAGAAATGCAAGGATAAAGTATTTCATTGGATGGTGAACTTTAAAAATAAAACTGCTAAGAAGAAATAGTTTTGCTAAATTTTCCAAGTTGGCGCTTTTAAAAAACATTTGTTTTTGGTAGTGCTAGGTTGGATCTCAGGGCTTCAAATGTTAGGCAAGCACTCTACCACCGAGTTCCATCCCTAGCCCTCCAATTGGAGTTTTTTTTGGGAGGCTTTTGGAGCAGTGCCAAACCTTCATTCTCCCCAGATCTGCCGAAGTCTCACGTACTCAGTAAAGGGGCTTTACTGTTACGCACTCAGTCCTTCCTTGCAATGTGATTAGCTGGCAGTGTGTGGGTTATGGGTAGGTAATGCATACAGCAGACAGTTTGAACTGATAAGTCTGTTCTGATCGTCCTGGGCATTTCTCCCTGTTACAGTCTTCAGTTAGCACCACTTGTCCATGCAGAGTTTGGTTTTGGTTTTTTTTCCTCCTCTGTTACTCTGGTCTCTCAATGCTCTTAATTATGTGGCCTTCTGAGCATTCATATCTTTTAGTGAGGCATATGTACACATTTCCAGACAAATAAACTGCAATAAAAAGTGCAGGGAGTTGATTACATGTTTTAGATTTTCACAACAGTTTTTTTTTTAATTGAGGTTTCAAATCATACAGGTGTAAAATAATTTTTTCTTGTTAACAGTTCCTTTTATATCCCATATTTGCATATATGGCTCCAAGGAGCTATCTGGTTGTGTTACCTTCTGATAATGATGACTAAGTTCATTAACCAGGTTATAGAAAGTTCTATATCAAATCTCTTTAACTAGTAAAAGTCTACTTTTCTTGGGCTATGAAAGTTACTAACCTGCAGTCATCACCTCCAGCACTAACAACATGTCGATCACCACTGGTAAATCGGACGTTTGTCACGTGGGGTGAGTGACCAAAGAACCGCTTATGCTTTGCCTAAAAAAAACAGTAACAAAGCTCAGGGAATCTGATGCACGCAAAAGCCAAAAGTTTCTGTGAGGAGCTATACTGTGCTGCAAGAGCTGTGGAGGGAATGGAGTCGGGGCACAGGCAGTGATTATCTGCACTTAACACACACCGGTTGTCTCTCGGTCTCTGAAAGTTTTTCTCAGAGGAAAAGCATTTAGAGTCTGATAAATGATTTGGTAAAAAGTTCACCAGAACTTCATTAGTTTTCCAAAGGTAGTAGTGCTAGAGGGAGAAATTTGTTTTTAGTAGTTCTCATTGAAAATTACTTTTTTGAAATACAAATTTAAAAGTACAGTATTTTTCAAATCAGGATAAAACGTGTTAAATATGAGAAAAAGAACCAATGTTCAGCCCTCTAAATCAGGAGTAATGTGATTGTAAAATGCAAAACAATATAAACTTACAAATTTTTCTGGACATGGAAAGTCAAATAATTTAACCATGCCGAAGTCATCTCCTGTTACAAGGCTGATTCCTGAATGGGATACACAGGCACAGTTGACATCGGCTTTCTCAGCGTGTCTGGACCAGATTCCCACAACTTCGTCCCCTAAAATACTAAAGACAAAACAGATCCACCACAGCAGACACTGGCAGGCTTGCCATACGGATTTGTCTATCTCTGACCTGATCATGTTAAAATACAGCAAATTAATTGTAAGGCAGGGTGGAGGCCTGAATTTCATTTAGCTATTCATTATAAGATGGAAGATTTGGGGCTGGGGATTTAGCTCAGGGGCAAAAGCGCCTGCCTGGCAAGTGCAAGGTCGTGAGTTCGATTCCCGGTATGGGGGGGATTAAAGATTTATAATTCAGCATCTTATAAAAGCTGACTGAATTATTTTTCAGATTAGAAGTGGTACTTAGTAGGAATTTAATGGCATTTTCCAGTGAACAATGGATATAGTCATGTATCAGCAAATTGGAACAAATTTATAAACTTCTAACAACTCTAAGGTAGCATTCCTTTAAGTAATACATTTCTTAACCACACCATTGCCTGTTCCTAAATTTAATGTTTAGGGAAATACCAGAGAATCAGTCATAACTTTGCTTTCTTTTCATTATAAGAATTTAAGTCTGGAAATCTGATAAAGGATGGAAATGTTTACTCAAAAGGAGTCCTAGCTCTGAACATACATTATTCTCTTCCTAACAATTCAAGATCTAGTTAATAAAAACATGAACTCTATTTACTCTTCCCTGGAGAATGGCTCTAACTTTAGAAATAGGTTTTTCCAACTTTCCTGACCTTTGGAGTCATTTCTTTCTTCCTGACTATTAGTATTTACCTAGTCCATGAAGCCCAAGTAATCCTGTCAATGGCAGCATGATCCAGAAGATGTTTTCCAGAAGGCACTTCATAAACATGCCGTTTATAGCAGCCACTGGAGACCTTTAGTCATGGTAGAACAGGATAAGAATTGTGTTAGGTGAAGGCACAAACCACGGTTTTTAGAATACTAGCAGATTGCAGTGTGGTTACCTGTCTAACGTGAAGAGTGCAAAAGATCACTACAAATACAAGGCAGTATGGGAATGGATAAAGGAGAGGACCTGCAGAGCTGTAGATCAGAGCAGCAGAAGTGCAAGCAGGATGAGTAAAGTTCAAGATTTGATGTACAACGTGAGGAATATAGGGACTCGTATTAGTAATTCACACAAAACCAAAAAATAGGTTTCAGATGATGGATGTATTCATTTGCTTTCATACAGTTAACTTTATTATACTGTATATGTATCTACAACATATACTACTACGTACTATTTTTTGTTAAAATTTAAGAGAGTAGGAGCCAGGAGAACTGGAGTTCAAGCCTAGCCCGAGCAATTTTAAGTGAGACCCTCAAAAAGGGATGGGGATGTAGCTCAGTCAAGGTCCAGAGTTCAATCCCCGGTAAACTCCCTGCCCTGAAAGGATGAGGTTACAGAATTAGTGCAGAAGCAGTGACCAGCAAAGGCAGAAATGGAAGCTGTGGAACTGGGAGACGGGGCTGAGGGATCTAAATGCACTCACAACGTAACACGCAAGAGGTACCCTTGGAAAAGAGGCGCAAGTGCTGATGCTGTACCTGGAGGTACCTGCTATCTGCGGAGAAGTCCATCTGAACGACGAAGCTTGGGATGTCTTTGCAGTAGCTGATTCTGTTAAGGGTGGGGCCCAGCATCAGGTCATAAAAGTCGACTGAGTTCTCACTAGAACCCACTGCCAGGTACCGGGAGTCTGGACTAAATCTGAGTAGATAACAAAATGTAAACGTGTTAGTTTTCATTCTTTCATCTGAAAACAAAGTCCTTAGCAAAAAATGCAGGCCTGGTAATGGTAAGGAGGGTGAAATGGTGAAATGACGTTTGCATACAAGTCATGGGAGGCAGCGTGGGACCAAGACAGCGTTTGAGAATGTTTCAGGAGGTGCTTTAGGGGCAAACTCAGTCTTTGAAAGTGTCCGCGGGTCTGAGGTATTTTAAGGGTAAGGAAAGCCACTGTTACACTGTCAGATGGTGAGGTTCTGAGGAGGTTTCCTTTATAAAAAGATTGTACTGCAGAGGGCTCACTTTCTGCGTTCAGGAACCTTACTGATGACAGAGAAATGCCCAGTAAATGGCAGCTACTGTGAAGCACCGAAAAGGCAAAGTCCTGGCAAGTTTGAGACTGTGGGATACAGCAAATGTTCTTTTAATGAATACTGGTTTGAATGGACCAGAAATGAGAGTCTGAAAGCCCACACCAGGCAACAAGGGAAAAGCATGTAGTTTAATCGAGGCTAAGAGAAGGTATATGACATGGGGTCGTAACTTTGGTTTTCCAAGTTGCAAAGGGCAGGTGACCGAACCCTTGTGTTAGCGGAGATCGCTCTTGGCACAGTGAACTTACTGCATGTGTAGTGTGACACTCAGCAAACGTTACCTAGTACTTGGTGTTATGAAACACTCTAGCTAGTGCCCTCATAATGTATAGTTTAGCAAGTACGATGGAGTAAGCACACGAACAGCCACACTGCAGTGTACAGTTAATGATATAAAATGTTACAGGCTTTCAGAACATTTTTGAAGCTAGGGGTAGAGAATGTTTCCAAATGTAAGCTGGGTCACTTATTGCATTTGAAATTAGAAATTTTACTTCATTTGTTGACTAACCTGATGTCATGGATTGCACATCGTCTATCTCTCTTCTTTCCCCATATTTTTAGAGAGCTCACCAGTAAAATAATAAATTCTCCATTTTTCATTCCAATAGCCACCATGTCCCCTTCAGGGCTATAGCACACGGTACGAGCAGCATGTCCCAAATTCACTTTGTTTAACATCTTCTGCATAAGAAGAAAAACCATCACAGAACTACATTGTGTAGTACTCAGAGGAAGCCAGTCCCACGCCCTAGTGCTCAATGGTAAGTTCTTTAGGTGCTAGCAATTTAGAAGTTTCACTTTTTTTGAAACTATGATTTCTTTAAAAACTGTTTGTACCTACTTTATCAGCGACATCCCACAGTCTCACTGTCCCATCTTCTGCAGCAGAAAGGAAAAAATCCCTGGAAGGGTGTGTTGCTAGCCCCCAGATTGGGCCGTCCACGTGACCACTAACCAGAATATTACACACTGCATTTTTCTCTCCAACTTCAATTATTTCAGCATTCCTTGTCCCAACTAGAATCTTGCCCTGAAACACAAGTGGGACCAATATCTTCACTGTAAGGCTGCAGTCCTGTGTTGTGAGCTGATTTAGTCACACGCTCTAAACATGAGCTCATGCACATTTTTCTATGACCAAAGGAGCACATCTGCATGAACACTGGTCTGGGTTGCACGGTAAGAGTTCATGCAGAAGGTGGAGCTCTACAGTACTGTGCCTGGATTTGACGACAGTCAGTTTGATTATGGTAACCTTGGGATTTTTAAAAGGGTATACATGCATTGGGATGTAAGAACTGGAATTCATTTTTTAGTGAAAATGTATAAAGCTTAACTAATTAAATATTTAATACATGAGTATGATTTATAAATACTTATGAGATCACACATGTGCGACAAATTTTATAGGAATGTATTTTTAAAAATGGCAACAGCTGCTCTAATGCAGTGAGTTAAATGGCAGGGCTTTTCACTTCTGTCTGCCACCGTTGAATTAGGAGACTGAAGAAAGCACAGGGGTTTAGGTACAGTGTAGACAATGCTTTCGGTTTGTACCGCACTGGCTCCAGCTGTGCGAATGCACAGTAACTGCAAGCAAGCTGTCATTCTGGTACTGCTCATTAAGTTACGAGGGTGACAGAATCAGAGAAAACACTGTTCTCCGTTTTCTTCTGCACCGGATGGGCTCCAGAACGTCTTACTTTGCCTCTGCACACAGAACGGACACAATCTGTGACTTGGCCTGTCTCGAGCCTGAAGGCCCGGCATCGCCTCAGCTCCTGATCCCACAGTTTAACTGCTCCTCCTTCCTTTGACCTAATAAAAAACCAAACCCAAAGAAGTGTTTATTACTGACTATTACGAATAAGTTTCATTATAAACATTATACTGAGTTACAAGCAGAATATTTTAAAAAGCCTTGATACTTATAATACTAAAACTTCCGGGGCTGGGGATTTAGCTCAGCGGCAAAGCGCCTGCCTGGCAAGCGCAAGGTCGTGAGTTCAATTCCCGGTACCGGAGAAAAAAAACCAAAAAAAAAAAACTTCCAATGGCAATTTCAGGATATACTGCATCACAGAAGAACAATCAGTTTCACTAAATTTTATTTTGTGAAATAGTTTTTTCTGACATGAAAATAATTTTATTTAGCCTTTACCATTAATTATCCTGTAGTAATACTTAGTAGGGAAAGACACAAAGCAATTTTTAACACTAAAAGGATGACTGAAATGCAAAGTGAGGTAAGGTTAGGGCTTCTGTGCTGTAGAGTATTTTTGAAGGTATGGTGGCTCACAACTATGACCCTGCACTCTGGAAGGATGAGGCAGGGGAACTGCAAATTCAAACCCGGCCTGGGGAGGCTTAGTGAGACCTCGTCTCAAAAAGGACTAGAGATGGAGCGCAGTATGAAGGTTCTGGGATGAAGCCTCAGCACTGAGGGAAATTTCTTTTCCTACCATGACTAAAATCTACTAAAACAGGTAAGCAGCTTACTGTTAAGTAGGGATGCACAAAACAAAGTGACGTTGGAAATACAGGTATTAGGGTAATATGTGAGAGATTATAGCCCATGTAATTTTTTTCTGTCAGCGGGACAAGGGCTTACTATGCAGTTCAGGCTAGCTTTGAACTCACTATGTAGCCTAGACTGGCCTCAAACTTGAGGCAATCCTCCTGCCTCAGCTTCCTGAGTGCTAAGATTACAGGCATGCACCAGCACGTCCAGCTTTTGTTCTCGTTTATTTAGGGATTTTCTCTTCAAAGAACTCAAAAATGTCCGTCGCTTTGTTAGGTGAAATTTGCTTGTCTGAGGAGAAAACATGCTCCAGTCTTTAACAGTTAACATTCATGTGAAAAGGGAACATACAGTTGTATTTCACTTGTAGTTTTAGTCCTTTGCATGTCACATTTCCACATGCAGAGGACTGTGCTGTAAACCGATCGGAAGTGTGGTGACTGCTGGGGTATTTACGTTTTGAGGGCTGGTATGAAGCAATTTATGTAACAAGTGTGCCTCAGGCAAAAAGCAAAAAAGTCCACCTAGCATCCTCTCTCTGCTTTCTCGTGCCACTGTGCACTGTATCTCAGCATGGAAAGAGACAGCACAAAAGATGCGTTCTGGTTCGGGGGTAAATGTTCTCCTGCGTGTCCCATGTCACTCAGCAAACAGCCGAGGCAGGCGCACAGGCACTAGGAAGTCAGTTTCTGTGAGTGTGTACGGGGGATTGAACCCACGGCCTCACGCAGCATGGACAAACAGTGCCTCTGAGCGACGTCCCCCAGTCCTTTTTTATTTTGAGACAAAGTCTTCCTAACTTGCCCGCTAGCCTTCACCTTGAGGTCCTCCTGCCTCAGACTGGCGGGCGTGCGTCACCATGGCTGGCAAGGCGCATGTGTTCTTAGTAGGCCAGTGGCCTGGCCACATGACAGAAGCACCACCACCCCACTTGGAGTTTAGGTTTAAAAAAAAACGGGTGTGATTTAAAACCAGGAAGGAGAACCCAGAGAAGGCAGTAACAGCAGTAAAGGGAAAGCACGTGTGCAGCAAGGCCGAGAGAAGAACCTGCGGAGCCCGGAAGTAACTGCAGCCTAACTGCACACCTCGGGCCCGGCGCAGATGCGCCAGCACTCGGGCTAGGGAAAGAAAGAGGACTCACGGCCTTTCCTTGCCGCCAGTCACAATGAGGCCATCTCGCAGCGTGGTGTACATGGCAAACACCGGCCCGTTGTGAGCCCTGGCCACAACTCTACACAGTACGTGCTCTTTCCACACACAGATGTCACCACTGATGGTACCTGTAAACGTCAAGTTATTCTGAAAAGGAGTGGGGAAAGGGGAGACAAACTCATCAAAAGTTCCGAGAATTCAGACCGATGCAATCGTCTATGCGCGTAACACTAGCTCCGCTTTCATACAGACAGCATGCGGGGCGTGGTGGGGGCGACGCTCCACCCCGGCGGCCCAGCCGGTCAGGGCCTTTCCTTTCCGAGGCTGTCACTCTGCAGCTGAGTAACCCTGGACGTCGGGTTATTGGGAACGGGCAGTTAACTACGCGGGGATTTTATAACTGAAGGAAGTTCATTTACATGGGCAAATTAATGAAGTATAATAAAGACATGAATGTGTGGAGTTTTCTTCCGGAAGCCAATGACTAATTTTACATCATGAACACTCAAAATGTTCAACTGAAATTTGACATATTGTCACCAACATTTTCAGTGGCCTTCTCAAAAACCTAAGTGTACTAAACTTCCAATTTTCATTCTCACATAGACCTTTGAGTAAGGAAATCCCACTGCATTTCTTATTGCCCCGAAGGATTTAAGAAGCCGTGGCGGGGAGGGGTGCGGAGGGGAGGAGATGTGGATCACACACCACAGGACACGCGGGGCGGAGCGGGGTGGAGGAGGAGGCGGGCTTTCGGACACCATTATGTGGAGACCAGGAACGATGCTCGCTCTCCTTTCGTGTCTCTTACCCCTCTGTAGCCTGAATTACAGATCCTGGCCTGGGGCACTTCCAACATGTATGTCAGCAGGGACTTAAGAGAAAGCAGAGGAAATCTAAACCCAAGCCTGACCTGGAGACGTGCAAATCATGCTTCTTGGTTTAACTCTCTTTTACTCTGTCAAATTTTTAGATGCATGAGGAACTACTAGGAAGATACATTTTAGGGTTCCTAAGCTGAGAATACTAATGAAGGCCTTGGAGAAGAGCAGGGGCCCAATGAAAAGAATGCCTTGTCATAGTCCTCTCATTAATCTTCCCTCTCCCTAATTTCTGAAAGTATCAGATGTCTGAGTGATGAAATATACGCAAGGCCAGGACTTGCAATGACATTACAATGCCATACCAACAACATGAACGTGCCTTACCTAAGGGAATACAATTTAAAGTAGGCAAAATGATACCAGCGTGTAACATTAAGAGACATACTGCACCAAAAGCGACGGCGAGCATGGTCTGCATCCGGGCATCTTCCAGTGTGCTCAGTAGCCCTTTTCTGCTAAGAAGAGCCCTTCCTGCCAGCGTCCAGAACTTTACATGTTTCACTCCCACAGAGACAAACTGGGTGTCTGAATCTGGTCGGAATTCCGCTACAAAAATACGCTGGTTGTGTCCGGCTCTGCTGGCAATTTTGGCACCTGAACAGAAGATACAAACACTTCACCTTCATTCTTTTTTTTTTTTCTGGTACCGGGAATTGAACTCACGACCTTGCGCTTGCCAGGCAGGCGCTGTACCAGAGCTAAATCCCCAGCCCCTTCATCTTCATTCTTAAGGTCCTCCAGAATCAACCAAATCAGCATTAACTAGCAAAGAAACAGTTTCTAAATGAAAGGAAATAGCAGTGACTCTTATTTTGATATCCATAAATACATTTTTATTAGAACATCTGTTTGTATGTTGTCTCGCTGATCCAAATTGCAAGAGCAGAATTCAGTAGCAGGCAGAAACTAAATGGCCTGCAAAGGCGAAAAATGTCTGCCACGTGGCTGTCTACAGAAAGTATGCTGGACCCCTGGCCTCCTGATCCAAAACCTGAGGCAGGGACAGTCACCTGGAAGCTCCCGGCACTCACTTCATTCTTCTTACCCAGAGACCAAAGCGCTGCGCCTGCTTTGTTATGCGCCAGGTAGTTTAACTCCATGCCCAGACAAGAGTGATACACGCTTGTCGGGTCTCTTACCTGCCACAGCCCATGAAGCACCTTCAATGTAATGGTTTTGTTAATTTATATTTTGCAGGCTTATTACTGTTTCACTGGGCGTTTAAAATGAAACAAACCTACAGTGCCACGGACCCTGAGGAATGTACTGTAGGGCTTTGGTGAATAATGGTTTCACCAATTTAAATACAGAATTCTTACTACCTAGTGTGTGTATAAAACTATATATAGTTTGGTTTTTTTTTTGAGACATGGTCTCACTGTATAGCCTAAGCTGGCTGAGATCCTCTTACCTCAGCCTCCAGAGCGCTGGAATTACAGGCGTGTGTCACCACACTCGGCTGCCTTAGCGTTCTTTTTCTTCTTATTTTTTAAGCATTCTTGTTTAACAAAAAATGATCCTACCTTCCTGCCATCTCCAGATGGTAACAGTGTGCTCTGGGTCAAGTCCCACAGACAGCAGCAGTTTGCCCGTGGCACTGAAGCTCACGGAGCACACCCCCTTGGAATGGTAGCATCTTAGGATGGATAAAGTCTGCTTGTTCACTGCATCCCAGATGTGGATAGAAGGGGCTGTGGCTGAACAAAGATAAAATTCTAAAGCTGTAATTGACCTGTTATGGTGTTTCCACTTTCAAAGGTGATACATATTGATCTCTGAGAAAGAAATGTACCAAAAACTGTGCTTAACAAAGAACAGCTCAGAATTAAGATTAAATTTTAAAAAGGAAAAGAAAGGGATGGAAAGAAAACGTATAGGCTAGAACATAGCTCTAGGCTATGTTCCAAACTTCTGAGAAAGCAGATTTAGACAGGCCAGCTGGGTCACTGACACTGAGCAACTCATCAAAAGGAAGGCCTGGCTGGGGCGGGAAGTTCAGCGCAGCAGCAGAGAGGGTCTGAGCAAGTTCCAGGCTCTGGGTTTGATCCCCAGCACCCCTGAAGGCAGGAATGTTTTACATACATTTTCAGTCTTTATATACCTAGAGACCTATGGACATTTCACACAAGAAACATGTGAAGTACAGGCACGCATTCAATACTGACATTTTCTGGAGAAATGAAAAGCAGATACAGCTGAGAAAGGCAATATACAGAACTATCTGAACAGATTGCAAAAGAAATTTTCAGTGATATAGCTACCAAGTAAAAAGCTACATGTAACTTAACTTTTTAAAAACAGAGTTTCATGAACAGATAAACTTCAAATCTTTAAAAAAATACATCGTCCATCATTTTTGCTGCTTTAAACGTTTCTTTCAGGCTGCTTTCCCCCGCCCCCAGTGCTGGGGCTCTAACCCTGAGCCTCACACGTGCTAGGCAAGCACTCTACACTGAGCTACAGCCTCAGCCCCCTGCTGCCTTAAAACGTCACACACCTGTATCGTCCTTTCTCAGTGATCTGTACCTTATGAGAATGGATACCTGAAGTCATTCAGCAACTACTGCAATTTCAAAGCATAATTAGTAAATATTAAGGTGCACTTCAGATTACATGATAAATCTTAGAGAAGCTGAGTAACATTAAACAAGACAAGCTGCCTTAAATTATTTAATGAAGAAATAAATCTTGGTCACTAAAGTATATTCCAATAAATTTCTATATATTATTTGCTATTTATAAGTTAAATCTGGTAATTTTTCAAATAAAGCAGCTAACATATTAAAACATAAACGTCATCAAGTAGAAATTGTTCAGGTTTATGCAAGTGTAAAATACCAAAACTCTGGGGAAACAGTGAAGTTCTCCAATCATAAAACAGTTTACTTTTTTTGAGACAGGATCTTGCCATGTAGCATAGGCTGGCCATACAAGAACTCAGTATGTAGCCCACACCATCCTTGAATGCCTGGCAATCCTCCTGCCTCAGCCTCCCTAGGGCTGGGATTACAGGTGTGCACCATCACGCCTAACTAAAACAGGTTATGTTTGCAAAATTTATCAGGATAATCTAAGCACTGGGCTAAAATGAGCATGTTGGTTGGGGATATAGTTCAGTGGCACAAGCACCTGCCTGGCAAGTGCAAGGTCCTAAGTTTGATTCCTGGTACCAAAAATAAATAAAAGTACAATGTTCTTCCTTCATTCAAAGGCAAGATACCCTGCAGCACAGGTGAACTTAGTCTCACACCCTGGTCGTTCCCCACTGCCTGCTTGCTGTTTTGTTGCCCCCTTTTGTGTGGTCTCCAAACAAGGACCTGAAGGTAGCTGATTACACTTCTATAGATTTTTCAGTTGCTTTTTTTTAATCATAAAGGGATGCTGACTTTTTGAGGGCTTTTTATTTATCAATTGAAATGATCATGTGATTTTTAATCCTTGATGTACTTATACTGTACGGTGTATTCCATCTATTGATTTATGCCTTATATCCATCGGATGAAATCACCTTAGGCATGCTGTACCGGCTTCTTTTTTTCTTTTTTTTTGGTAGCTGGCATTGAAATCAGGACGTTGTGCCACTGAGCTATATATCCCCAGCCTGGGGAGATGGCTAACAATTTTTTTCTCTTTTTGAGACAGGGTCTCGCTATGCAGTTCAGGCTGGCCTTGAGCTCACTTTGTAGCCCCGGCTGGTCTCGAACTCGCCGTGATCCTCCCGCCTCAGCCTCCTGAGTGCTGGGATTACAGGCCTGTGCCACCATGCCCGGCCTGTACAGGTTCCTTAACATGCTTTTGAATTCTGTTTGCAAAAGCCTTACTAAAGATGGCTCACAAGTGGTGTTCTACGTGAGAGAGCATCTGAAAGGGTGGCAAAGAAAGCCAGCTCTGCGAAGGCAAACTGAAGAAACCCACCAAATCCAAGCCAGAGTCAAAGGAGTTTAGAAAGGGAAGCTGCGCCATCCTGGACCTCAGCAACCTCTGCACTAGGCCCAGCGAATGTGCCATCCTGGAAGAGGGCTGACCCCGAGGGAGGGAGCCTTCAGCTCGGTGGAGGCCGGGCCGCTGGAATAGAGTCCCAGCATCCTGACGCCGTCACTGGGAAAAGGAACGCAGTGAGCAGGGCATTTGCAGACCAGGCGCTGGGAAAACCGAAAACCTGCGAGCAGAGTCTGGGGAAGCACTGGCAGGCTCTTGGGCAAGTGGAACGCCAGTGCAGGACTAGGGCTAGAGCGCAGAGAAAGCGGCACTGTGGGCGGGGTGAGCTGGCAGCGACTGTGAACCGAACTACAAGGCCCTGGGAGGTCAGGTAAACAGCCCAGGGGTACGCACTTGCCCATGCTTCCCCCAAACACCGAGAGGGAGCCCAGGGGATACCTCACTGCCCACCACCTGCCATCAGGCACTCACACGAGAACCCTGGCCCGCCCCCGGCTGAGGCCTGCTGAATACAGGGGGCACCGAGGCGAGCGCAGGGGCTGGGGAGGGATGCTTTGCAGACAGCAGGAAGGAAGCCAGAGGGCGATCAGCAGTGCACTGGTCAGAAGGTCAGAAGCCTTGTGGAGACAACACAGAAGCAGCTACAGGGGTTGGTCCGCAGGTGCAGAGAACAGAGATTCAGAGGGCCTATGTGTAAACCAGCAGGAGCCTGTGCGCTGCCCACCACCCAGGTGCCAGGCAACTGACAAGCACGGTGGGGTGGGTGGCTCTCAGAGCAGCGGGAGCCGGCTGTGGAGCGCTGAGGGTGAGAAGCAGCACCTTGCAGTCAGTGATTCTCCAAGAATGGTAGAGGTGTGGGGAAGAGCTGTCCAGAGCCTGCCCCCTCACAGATCAAAGCTCCCCTGTTTGTGACCCTGGAGGAAAGAACTTGCCAGCTGAGCTCAGACTGCAATATAAACAGGACTGACTGAGAATGCTTTGCTTTTGCTTTTGCAACTCTGTGCATTTCTTTCAGAGAAGGGTTGTTGCTTTTTTTTTTTTTTTTTTAGTGTGAGTGTGTCTTTTTGAGACAGGGTCTCACTATACAGTTCAGGCTGGCCATAAACTCACTTTGTAGTTCAGGCTGGCCTCAAACTCACAGCGATCCTCTTGCCTCAGCCTCCCAACAGGTGGAATTACAAGCATGCGTCACCACACCCAGCTCTTCCCTTTTTTCTTGGCTCTCTCTTTCCCTCCTTCTTACCTTTTTCTTTTTTATTCTTTTATTTTCTCTCTTTCTCACCTCTGTCATTTAACTTATACATATATGGGAGGTTTCTGTTTACATGCAGAGGAGAAAAAGAATTAACCAGTGCTTTAATCCAAGTATGGTCATTCCTTGTTTAATGACCAAGTTACATTCTTGTGAGTAGGCTGTTAAATCTATGGTTGCTGAAGAATTGTATATAGTATGTGCATTACAATATTCAGAACAAAGAAATGGTCAAAGGAAAATGGTCAAAGGAAACTCCAACTTCACTTTGCTTTTATTTGCATAACTCTTATAGGCAGTACTGTAATGTCTAACAGCATGAAACTACAGTACATTCAGCAAAAATTACAGGGCTGTATAAACACGGTGAATGGTAAGAGAAAGACACGGAGGCTCTATAAACATTACGTACAGAGCTGTACAAACTGAGTTGTAAATCTGAATGGTGGGTCATTCGTCTGAACAGCTGTTAACCAGGTAGGTCATTAAACAAGGAATATCTGTAGTACCTTTCATGGACAAGTCAGGGCCGCCCTCAATAAAATTAAATGCAAGTGATCCAAACACAAGCTAAATATAAGCATACTAATCAATGCTGACCTTTTCATAGCTTCCTTCAATCTCCAATTACATTTCCCTTCTGCATTCCTTCTGTTCCCACATATTCTCTCCATTAGCTCTCTACTGAAGCTATCAAGTAATATCAAGAGTTCAATCTGCCATTTCTTTCAGTTGTTATTTCTCTTTTCTCCATCTTTCTGATCTACCCCCTTCCCCTTTCCCTTCCTCTTTTGTTCTCCCACCCACCACATCCTGTCAATAGCAGTGTATTACCTTTTTTATGGGTCACTGATAAAAGGATGAAATTGTTAAAGCAAGTGTTAGTGTGCCATAATTGATGTATGTTTGTGTCTGCTGATGTTGACATAACCACTACGGATGCTCTCCTTCCAACAGTGCCTGGGTCTGATCCTATTAAACTGAGTTAAGTGGGAGAGATAGATAAGGACCAAAAAGCAACCAAAGCCAAGATCACATCATGTGAAGCAGAGACTAACTAAAGAGCTCACCATACTGGCAACAGAGTCTTTCCAATCCAATTGATCCTCAACCCTCAAAACACATACACACACATGAAAAAGAAAGATGCAAAAACAAGGCACAAAATGCCTCCAAAACCTCTGAACTCTCCAAAGCTAACCCAGTGGGCATCAATGGAAAAGAAAGAAAAAACTAAACAGTAAGGTGTGGAAAGTGATAAAGGAAACAAAAAACAGTTCAACAAGATTTTCATCAAGCTCCAAGATGATATCACTAACAGATAATGAACTTAATAAAATTATTAATGAGCTCAAAGAAGACAAAAAGCTAGCTGAACCAACCAAAATGATAATAAAATAAGGCTACTACATACCAATAAAAGAATAATTCAATAGGAAGAGATAACAATTGTAAATATATATGCACCAAATACTGTTGTATCATATTTCTTAAAAAAAAATTGGA